ACATTCTCGCCTAAAAATGTTGTACCAAATCACGTTGTGTCATTTAAAGTGTTATAAAGCTAAATAATTTGTCGCTATTCACCGCCATTGACGCTCTGCCTGAACGCCCAGTTGGAACCCGCAATGAATTATGGGATATCGTGGGCCGTGAAGGATACACCGGACCCATCCTTCAAATCTGGGGAAAAGAAGGACGCATTTGAAGGAGTCTTTGAATTCGGACAGGCCTTGTCATAGACATAATATAAGGATAGACGCCTCATGGACCGCTCTCGCCTATTGTCGCTGACGAGATTTAGGGCGGCCATCTTGGAGCGGTCCTCCACTCAGCGTTATGTGTTTAGCAGGCACAATGACGTATCAGCGCATTTAATCGATCATAACACACTTTGTTACTGGAAACCATATTCAAACAGCTATCAAAGCAACATTTATAAACAATTGTATTTTTAATACATAGTTCATCATATTTAAATATGCTTAGTGGCTATAACAATAGAATAGGAATGGAATATTCTGATATCGATGTATGAAGAGCATATTACAAAGCACACAGCCGTTCATAATTTATTTAANAAATTATTTAGTAATATCAATATATATTTATATAACTATACAAACACTAATAAATAAAGATTAATAAAGGCACAAATAAATAATGATTTTTATATATATATATATATATATATATTTTTAAGAGGGGGGTTTGTGTGGCTTTAAACTCGTTTCCAGCCTGTAAAGAAGTGTGGTATTTGTGCCACTTCACAAAGTGGCACAAATACCATTTGTGCCAGAGGTCGAATGTTGAGCTGCTGCCGCTGTCCAGCAGGGGTGGTGCTGAATAGCTGAGGCCTGATCTCACATCCCCTCTGACGGGCCTCCAGCATCCCGCCTCTGTAAAACTTAACACTGAATCAAACCAACGCCGAGTTCTTTGTTTTAGAAGCAGACAAGCGAGGGGACAAAGATTCAAAGGAAACTAGCCACTGTTAGGAAAATAAAATTAAAATATGCTAGTTTTTAAACTTAACCATATGTAAAATATTATATAAAATCATCAGCGTTTTAAAATTAGAACATTGGGTTCCAAATTGCCTATATGTTACTTTAGGTTTAATGCAGGAATCTGTTTTTCAATAAATCGCTCAGAAAAGGAAACAGATGCTTGGCAGTTCAGATAAAAAACAGGATGTAAAAGACAAGTTCTGTTTGTTCACAGTCAAATTCTTTGGTGATTTTCTAGGGGTAAGGTAGACACTTAAAACCTGGAGAAAAACAAAATGAGGTCTAGGTAAAAAATACATCTCTTTCTGACAAATAGGGTCTTTGTTCAAATGTTTAGAAAGGGAGAAACAGGAGAGATTCCAGATGTAACCGACATGAGAAAATCCTGTTTGAGAATGACCTTTGCTCTCTCTGACTTTTACTCACTCTGGACCTTTGCTCTTTCTCTCTCTTCATCTTTGGTTTTGAATAGATCTCAAAGAAGTTGACAAAATCATTTAGACCATCCCATCTAGGTAATTTGAAACTGCTTAGAGGTTTAGAAGGAGAGGACACAACTTCAATGCATATATTAAAATTAGGACTACACCTCTTAATAAAAACCTCCACTTCACAGAAACAAGTCAAATTGCTTTGTTCCCAAAGGCCCCTTTGCTTTTTCTCTTATTTTTGTATTTTGTTCATTTTTCTACTTTTCTCAGGTAATTAATCTCTGTTTTATGGTTTGGACTTCTTGATGGTTTGAGTGTGATGCTGATCTGTTTTTCTATGCATTTAATTGTCTGAATAAAACTCTAGATATGTCTGAAGTTGAATGGCGACTGGTTGTTCTCTGTGTGATTTCAACTTTGTACATGAGGAACCCTGAATTCGGGACACAAGAGGAAAACAAATATTTTATTCCTCTAATTTTACACCACCAAAACCGGCCGAGCGGCTCAAATCACCGTCACATTCAGCGGCAGGAGCCGCAGAAGCCGCTCGCTCCTACACGGGCCTCTGGGTTACAAAACTTCTGCCTGCTGTTTCTTTTTCCCTCCTTTTTTTTTTTTTAACTTTAAAGCACATGTTCTCAAACTACACATGTACTTTCTGTCTGTGCACCCCCCGTGGCTTAAGCTGAAAGCCCGACAGCCGCTCCGGTAACCCGCCTCAAGCCGAGGAGATCCGAGGAGAAGATCCCACCACTGGCCGGATTGTGGCCATATTCGGGCTCCCTGACGCTGGAGGAGCCCCCCTTCTCTTCGTTGAACGCCGAGCTGGAGGACATCTCCGTGGCTTTTCTGCTGATAATGTCCCGGTCGGCCTCACGGAGCGGCGATGGAGAATCAGAGCGCAGAGGGGAAGCAGGATATGCGGCTCTTAAAGGCGCACAGACACCGCTGCTGTCTCCGTGCTGTAGAAGAGGATGATGGGAGGCGGAGGAGGGAGTGGAGGGGAGGGGGTGATGAGGCAATGGTCACGTGGTTTTCACAGATTGTTCCTCTGGATGTAAACATCGTGTGCCGTCTGCCGTCAGGGCCACTCGGTGGAGCAAATAGGCGCCATGATGATGCGCGGTCCTCGATACAGGTCAAGAAATAATATTATAAATTTGTACAAGACAGCATGTCAGGGCCATTGAAGAAAAGAAGGAAGGATAAATTTCTGCCAAAAACCTCAGAAATTTTGAGATTAATTTTCAGAAAAAGCAAGGTCATTTCTGAGTTTGGACAGTTCGAAATGTTTTAGAAAAAACTCAGCAATTTTGAGATCTCAGAAATGTTTAAGAAAAAAACAAGGACATTTCTAAGTTTGAAAAGGGGAAGGTTTTCTGGAAAAACCTTAAAAGAATTTTAGATTAATTTTTGGATACTTTGTCCTAATGTTCTAAGAAAAAAACAACTCAGAAATGTTGAGGTTAATCTCAGAAGTTTTCCATTTGAAAAAAGGACATTTCTGAGCTTGAACAGTCAACAATTGGCTTGAAAAAGTTCAGACATTGTGAGATTAAGTTGAGGAGTTGGAGGAAAAAACAATTTTTGAAATTTATTTATTTTTTTTAATTTCCAAGTTTTTTCCAGCAAATTTGAGCTGGATGATTTTGTGCCGTGACATTACATTTGTTGTGAATTGATGTGACATAAATCCACTGAATTAAACTGATTTAAAGGTTTGCCTGGTGTTTACAAATACATTTTAGGCTAAAACTAATCCAACAAATTATTAAATTCTCTTGAGTTGCAAGTTTTCCCACTAGTTTGCTGGTTTGCAAATGAAGACATGAAACACTTTGTGAAACTGTTAAATGATCTGTTTATTTTGTGCCTTTTTATCTTCAATTTAACATTTGACAACACAAACCTCTGTAAGTTTTAATAAGAAAAGCCTGTCTTTCAATGACAACAAACGCCACATATTTGAAGTAATAACTAGATTCCGTTTCTACTTGGCGGTTCTTCAGTCAACGTACCCGCCGACAGATGCCATGACCTCATACAGATCGCACACCTGAAAGAGAGACATCATCTGGTCCCTGTCTTATCTTAAATGTTTTTTTGGGGGGCAGTCTAAACAAAGAGAACGTTTGGCAATGAAAGCACTTTACCTTTTTTGGTTTCCCGACTCTGAAGTTTTTGAGTTTGTACACAGTCACCTCACCCCGACTGTCCCCAACCAAAATGCTGTCTGAGCCTTTGGCAAACAGCAAGGACGACAGCGTCACGCCGGGCTCGGCGTGGTGTACCAAAGTGGGCCGCATGCTAGATGAAAAGGGTTTGCTTTGTCACTGTCTGGCTGCAAATCGGCTTGAAACAGAACCGAACACGCAGCCCAGGGGAACGCCGGAGTGACTCACATGCTTTGGCAGAGGTCCCAGACCTCCACACGGTGCCTGTAGATGGCTGCAAACACCGTGCCGCAGTTTGGGGACCACTTGACGCTGTCCACTATGCTCTGCACCGACGTGAAGCTCATTTTGGGGTTCAGCGTGTCCACCTTCCACAGCTGAATCGTCCCGTCTGAAGAGGTGCTCAGGAACACGTCTGAATAAATAGGCGACCACTCGATATGCGTCACTGGGGACTGCAGGAGACAGGAATAAGTGAGCAACATTGTGTGTATATATATATATATATATATAAACACACACACACACACACACACACATTTACGCATCCACAAGCCTGGAATTTTTTTTGTTTTGCTGTTTAGCTACACAGACTCAAAATGGAGCTAAATCTTTTTAAAAGAGAAAAAGTCACATATTTACGGAAAAGGATTCGGGCAGCTGAAAAAAAGAAGAAAATGAATTCTTACGCTGAACTAAAAATTCTGAATTTAAAGGCTGAATTTTGAGACCAAAGTCAAAAATTTTGAAATTAAAGTCAGAATTTCTGAGATTAAAAACATAATTTTGAGACTGAAGTTAGAAATTTTGAAACAAAAGCCAACATTTTGAGGTTAAATCTGAATTTTTGAGATTAAATCAGAATGTTTTTAGATTAAACTCAGAAACTTTTCAATTAAAGTCAGAATTCTGAGTTTAGTCTCAAAATTCTGATTTTAATCTGAGAATTCTGACTCATTGCTATACAGCAAAACTCTACTAACACAAGCAGCCACTGTAGCTAGTTTTCTGCTTGTAAATAAATGGAATAAAAAACAAACAAACATAAACCCTCAAGAGGAAATCCTGGACTAACCGCATGTACAAAAGTCACAGAACAGAAAATGAAGATATTACGACGTTTACCTTTTAAATAGAGGTCAGTATAAACTTACAGGGTGTTTACAGTATGTGTCCAGAAAATGATCGCTGTTGGACAGAGAGCACTTGTGCATGCTGCCGTCCCACGTTCCGATCACATAGATCCCAGTGTCCTGCAGCGCCATGTGGAAAAGAGTTTAAGATTTTTATTAACATAAAAATAGGAGACAGATAAATGAACACTGAGTTTAAGCTGTAATATTAGTTCTGATGATTAAAGAGAGATGGAGTTTGATAAAGAAAGGAAAGTCTGTATTGTTTGCACAAAAAAACAGGTATGGATGAATTAAGTGACACAGTTCAATAAATGAATACATTTATTATTTGTAAAATGTGTGATAAAAGCTTTAAATAAATATACACTACTTAGTATAATGTGCTAAGCATGTAATCAACATGCATTAAATGAAAAGATTTATTTATTTAAGCAAATTCTGTTGTTTAGTGCAGCAGTGGTCCTGTTTTAATGAAGTAAGTAACGTGTACTGATGATAATTTCAGACAAATGGATTAGCTTATTTTCTGAATTAAATAAAACTTTCTCTCGCTTATTCATCAGATTGTAGCACTTTGGCCCCTCGATAATACTACAGCAGCACAGTAAATAAATGATTTTTGCTCATTTTCTTGAGTAAACTTACGTCTGGATGGAAGTCAATGCAAAGAACAGTGGTCAGTGGAAGCAGCACATTTTCAGTCTTCGACTGGCCTCCTCCGATGCTCTGTTTACGACCTCCTCCGATGCTCTGTTTACGACCTCCTCCGATGCTCTGTTTACGACCTCCTCCGATGCTCTGTTTACGACCTTGACCTGATGATCTTTTCAAGATCATCAAGTCTGGGAAAAGATGCATTTTTTTATTTTTTAAAGAAAACAAAAATATCCATGTTATGATCATTAAAACAGAGCTGGGCTTTATCGGTAAATCTGCATTCCATGAGGTTTTGGTGTTTTTTTTAAATATATTTTCTCAGGTATTCATGAAAAAGTAGATGATTGTGTCTTACACAGTTTGCATTTTTACTGTATTTAGCCTCTTTTAAAAAACATACCCATCAAAAATCTGCAAAGATGAGGCGCTTCTGAGCTCGTTCATAACCAATAGCTGAGTTTCCATCGGAAATGTTTGCAAAACGTTTTCTACATTCCGCTAACGTTGGAAGAAACACAATTTCAAAATTGCTGCGTTTCAATTAAATTCAAAACACAGTTAAAGTCTCATGTGAGTATGTTTGCTCATGTCATTAACAAACATGCCGTGCCATCATCCTCCTACCACTTCCTGTTGTCCTCCTCTTCTTCTTTTCTCCCCGTATTAACATCCGGTTGTTAATCACGTGACTCGCGTGATGCAAAAAAAGCACTTCCATCGCAGGTTTGTGCTACATGAACATTTCGATACCACCAACGGAAAAATGTATCAAAAAATTGGCATGTTTCCGTTCTGATGTGCGCGATGCTGTGGTCAATGGAAACGCGGTCAGGCACAGCAGGGGCAGTTCCTCTCCATAACACTTAGGGGCAGCGGTGATATATTCTCACACAGCAGAAACAAGACGCTTCCTGCTTGATAGACTTGATTTCCATTCAATGCACTGATTTTTCATAGAAATGAAAGGGTAAATTTGGATAATAGAACATTGTCAATGCTGTATTATGTGGCTACTTTACATAACAAAAAGATTGCACTGACAAAACAAAGCTTAGATAGTAAAGATTACACTCCCGTGCTTTGAGCCTGTAGTCTGTGGGGTTTATTACCTACGCAGTTGAAATCATTGTGCAGGATGAGCCACTTGGTAATCCTGCCATCTCCTGATACCGACACTAGGACTTCTTCTCGTTCTTCCCCCGATAGCTGCAGCTGTTGTTTGTTCTAGGTGACCTGCCACACCGGTTGCGTGTGCCTCTTAGCACAGTCACTACGAAAGAAAACAAACAGTCAAAAAAAAAAAATTCATAAATAAGCAGTTCTTAACTTTTCACAGCTGATAGTCTGTTAGATTTGGTGCCAAATGATCCAAGCTAATTGAAAAACATGTTCACCTCTTTGCCTGTGGTGGCGCTGCACCAAGAACCACTGAAGAAAATGACACAAAGAAGACACTGAGCACAACTTCCTTCTATTTCTCCCACTAGCGATAGACTCTTGCGTTTGTTTTGATTGTATTTACCCAGAATGCCCAGTGCCACTCCCTTTGGAGGGGTCTTTAATCCGTTTGGCACCAAAGTTCACATCAACCAAACTGAGACCGAGGTTTTTAGGTGGACCAGAGTT